AAGAGTGGCTACCATCAGCTAATTAGCAAACAATCGGCTGATATCAGCTAACAGACTTCATTGGCTAACATTGGCTATTTGGCTAATGCTAGCTGATTAGCGGATGTTGGCTTATTAATTACATTTGTTACAACAGGCTAATTAGCAAACTGTGGTTAACACAGGCTAACAGTGGCTAATTAATGACATTGACTAAACTCAGCTAATTAGCTCGCATGAGGAATAAACCAGGCATGTTTTCCTCGTAACCTCATAATGAGTGGATCAGACACAGCAGTGCTGCTGGACTCTTCAAACACCTCAGTGTCGCTGCTGGACTGAGAACCAAAGAACGTCCAGCCAACAGCGTCCTGTGGGCAGCGTCCTGATGAAGGACTAGAGGATGACCAACACAAACTGTGCAGCAGCAGATGAGCTATCGTCTCTGACTTTACATCTACAAGGTGGACTGACAAGGTAGGAGTGTCTAATAGAGTGGACAGTGAGTGGACACAGTGTTTAAAAACTCCAGCAGCACTGCTGTGTCTGATCCACTCGTACCAGCACAACACACACTAACACACCACCACCAGTCAGTGTTACTGCAGTGCTGAGAATGATCCACCACCCAAATAGTACCTGCTCTGTAAGGGTCCATGGGGGTCCTGACCACTGAAGAACAGGGTAGCAGAGAAACAGATGGACTACAGTCTGTAACTTTAGAATTACAGAGTGAAACTATGTGGTCAGTGGAGCTGATCAAGTGGACAGTGAGTGTAAAAACAAGGATTTGGCTGTGATCTTAGGGCTGATCTGTGTTTACTGACCTCAGAAACTGATTTCAAGCACATAAACATTCAGGCCTTTAGAATAAAACGCCTTTAGGACGGTAAAGAACACACAACCAGCCATGCGTGTTCAATCGTTTATGTGCATACTGTACGTACGGAAGTGACCAAGGTAGGAAGCGTATCGTCTGTGGTGATGTTATCGAGCCTAGTGCGAAAGTGACACAAACGTAGAGTGTGTGAAACGACCGCGAGAAGCTGTACTTCAGCTCTGCTTCCTGTTCAGCAGTCATTATTTCCACTTTGCAAAAGCCCATCAGGAAATCGTGATGCAGAAATGAAAACAACAAACCTCAGATCAGTGAATCATCAGAAACTGAGAAAATATCAAAATGCCCTCAAGTTCAGAACAATCATGAAGGCCTGGCTTGGATAACAAAGCACTCCATGAACATTGAAACCCAGTCAAATGGAACAAAACGCCATTTAAAGCTCAGACTTTTCCACCAGCATCTGTTTCTAGAGGTTCAAACCTGAAACCACAGAGTTCTGCATTCATGCACAGCAAAAAATGACATCTTGGCATGTGAAACTGTCTTAAATCTAGTCTACATGGCTACTATTTCTCTGGTTGAGAGTGTTGTAAGCTTATTTAACCTATTTCTAGCCATTTTTGACTAGTTTTAAGTCATTTTATCATCAAGTGAAATGATCTCACCATGTTTACAGATGATTTTGCTTGTTTTAGGAAACAGGCTAACAAGTAAACTTATCTGTACTGTGAGATCATTTTACTTCATAAAATGTCTACAAAAAGTTAAATAATCTTATAATATTCCCTACAACCACGTCAAAATGATAAATATTAGACATATTGACTAGATTTTAGATCATTTCACTTGATAAGACACCATTTTTTGCTGTGCACACCAAACCTCAACAGCCGAGTTTAATAAAAGTGGTCCCCAAAGAACTCTAAGCAAGTCCATATTTGTTTTTCACACCATTTTCCAGCACAGTTTTGGCTTCAGTTCGCTTTACTGCATCAAAACACACAACATTCACCCGCTCTACTACAGAAAGCTCTACGCTTACACTCAGAAAGAAAAGTAACCTACTAAACTGTCTCTGGGGTGGTTCCCCTCTCGTCACTGGGGTGGAACCCTCAAGGATCCATCTCAGTACCTTTAGTCAGGGAACATAACTGAACCATAATCCACTGAAATGATATGTTCTAAGCTGTACTGACTCCACACACCCCATCTCGTCTCCAGGCTTTTATTTTACTGTTCTGTTTAAAACATTCGGTTATGAAAAGGTACAAATACGAACTTTTCACCTGGAAACACTTATTTAAGGTTCACAATCAGACCTTAAAACCACTTTTGGAGCTTTGAGGGAACATTTACACTGTTTGTACGTTGACAAATGAAAATGTACCTGAACAGAACCTTTATTTCTATCAGTGTACAGAAAGCTAATTTCTTAAAGCAACCAAATCAGTCAAGATATTTTTGGTGTCTGAAGTTTGCTTCTGTAGTTTTAGCACTGAAGCTACGAGGCTAACGCAGCTAACACATAATGAATACTTGTACCCCAACAATTAGCATGGTGCTAACTGCATGGCTAAAGATCACTGCATGTAGCAGATGTGGTACAAAATGCTGCTAAACTACACCGAATGTGTGAGAGCGCCGATAAACACCACGTTCATTTTCACACTCTACTTGTTAAAAGTTCAGTCTCATTAAATTAATACATCATTTACCACATTTGGTGTCAGTTCACCACCCCTTCACAAGGTCGCTGCTACTGAGCTAAAAGATATGAGGTAAAAAATAGACCAGGCTAGTGACATTAGCTGAGATAGCATAGCATTAGCACCTGTCTGTCCAGCTAAAAGACTAGCCTGGTTCAATTCTTTTAGCGTGTTCTCGTCCACTTTGACTCACCACTCGGACTTGAGCCACACCTAGGGGTGGACAATACGACGATTTTTTATCGTTGTGATAAACTACATTGATAAACTAATCGGCTAGTCGTGTAAACTTTTCAGTGTAAAACATTTTCTGAGGACTTTGAGCATAAAACACATCTGTGAGTAGCTTTCCCTGCTGAAAAAGGACCATTTGAAACCATTGGGATTAAAACCTATAGTTTTGCCTTGTAGTGGGAATTGGCTAAATGGTTTCCAGAAGAGATGACTGGATTCCTGTGGATCACCTTTAGATCCCATTAGGAAACCATCTAATCCACTTAGAACCAGCCAATGGTCACCTGTTGAAGCATTAGGATCCTTTACACTGTGATATCAACCCATTAAAAAAGCCAGAAGATATTTTTTAAAACTAACAGAAACATTTAATGGTTTCTATTTCTATTTTTCAGCAGGGTTGTCTGGCTGTAAACTTGGGGGGTATTTCATAGAGCAGGAGTTAGCCAGATAACTTAAGCCCAAAGATGAGGACTGTCCAATAGGAATGCCCCTCTGCTCTTTTGCTATGGGACAGGCCTGATTTTAGACTCAAGTTATCTGGCTAAACTGAGAAATCCTGCTTTGTGAAATTCCCCCCCGGCGGAGAGCCTCTGTTGTTGTTGTGAGCCATGTAGCCATTAGCATGCTAACTAGCCAGCTAGCAGAGGAAAGTGATGAAGCAGTCGTAAACAACAGATACAGCAGTTTTGCAACCTAAAGCCCAGCAAATCAAATGTTATAGTTTTGAAATGTTAAGCATTTCAACATATTTTTCTGCTGTGGTTAATAAACAGCTTTGTCAGGTTGCTGCTGAAACCAGTGGGCCTGCCACTGCTGACCATCGAGGAGAAATGAGGCCAAGTGGACAAGGACGTGTTAAAAACCACGATAAAATCACCACACGGTCGCCTCAAACCATTCAGTCGCTTAAAAAAGACCAACTTATGTAGTTTCATTTTTCAAAGATAACAGTTTTAATGCAATGATTCAGACATGCAGCTTACACAATACTGTAACTGCTATCAATAAACCAGCTTGGTTTTTGTTTTTTCATTAAAAAAATAACACATTTACATATATATAGTCAGCCTACAAGCAGTTTAGCACCCCTTATTCACACTGAAGTTATAAGGAGCATTTAAGCCAGGGCTAGTTTTTGAATGAAGAGCAATACATTTAAAGGCACAGTAACAGAAAATGTCTTGTTTAATTCCAAGGGATCAATGCAACAAATGGAAAATGGTAAAGTAAAAAATTAAAATAAATGCAAGAAAAATATAGGATACAGGGTCTTTAAAACTGGGGGGGCTTGTATTGATAAAAAAGAGACTGAATTTTAGGGAGAATTTTAATACCTTTCTGATTTTTTTGCCATTGTATTGTTTGGTATCAAACACTATGGTACTGCACTTCAGTAATAAAATATAAATTCTGGTACTGTGATAACCCGAGGCCTAAGGTACTACCCAAGGTACTACAAGGTTGGTATTTTACTTCCTCACTGAATCACCCAAGAATCCAAAATTCAATTTCCACCAGTTCCCAAGAAACCCCAAGCCAGTCCCTTTTTTGTTTGTTCACCATTTCCCAGTAGGGGATACTAAATGCCCCATGATGCACTGCCTGAGTCAGATACAGCCAAAAGAAAAAATTAAATGGAAACTTTTTTTTTTAATTTATGCATAATGAAGTGGTTAAGATGTAAACAGAGGCGCTCAGAGTGGTTTGGTGTGAAACTTCTAGAGAAACTTACCGAGTCAGAGCTGTTCACAGTGGTGGTGATAGGAACTAGACGTCCACCTCTAAAAGCTCCCTCACAGAAAGTTACTACATGAAATGGTTATCATCAGGAAATAGTTTATTTTGTTCCACTTATAACGTTTTGGGCATCAGAAATGGTCATAATTAATTTTCATGACTCTCTTTATCCCTTAGAAAAACAGCCTGTTTTTGTTACTGTGCATTTAAGACTGATATATGTAAATGAGCTCTGTTCTGATTGGCTGTGCCTCATTAAAAAAAGCAGTCCAGGCTAAAACACTGCTTATAACTTCAGTGTGAGTGGACGGGGGTGTACCGTTGGCTGAATTAGCAGATATATGTAAATGAGTCCTTGTGAAACCACAAAAACAATGAACTTAAACTGGGCTCCTTATGGACCGTACATACCAGCAAATGAGCGGTCAAACTCCAATTTCACTAAGGTTAGGGTAAACATGATATGGGCCCTTTAAGTGCTGAATAAACAGCGTCTTTACCTCCAGCACCGGCCCGGCTCCCAGGATGGTCCTCTCCACGCCGCTGGTGCAGCCCTTGCGGCTGAAGGCGGTCAGGCAGTGGATCAGGAAGTTGGTGCTCTGCGTCTTCCCTGAGCCGCTTTCTCCGGAGATGACGATGCACTGGTTGAGGCGCTTGTTCAGCATGGCGCGGAAGGCGGCGTCGGCAATGGCGAAGATGTGCGGGTCCAACCTGCCCAGCGTGTGGTTCTCGTACATCTCCACGTACTTGGGGTTGTAGATGGGCAGGAATTTGAAGGGGTTGACGGCTATGAGGATGTTATTGGCGTAGGTGTAGATCTTGTTCTTGAGGAAGCGGCGCTGAAGGGTCTCCAGGATGTTCTTCTCGGTCAGCACGGGCAGGCTGCAAAGATCGTTACAGTCCTCAGACTGGGGCTTCAGAAAGCTGCGGACGGCCGGCGCGTGCTCGGGCTGGCTCGGACCATCGGGAACGCCCGACTGGAGGGCGAAATAATACCCGTGGATTTGCAGATGCTGGTCTTGGACCTTCCTCGGCCAAAGCAGCACCCTCTCGACCGGACGGTCGCTAGCTTGAAGGACCCACTCCTCCCCTCCAGTCTCCCTGACCTCCACCAGCTGGTAAGTCTTGGACATGTCCAGGCCCAGTGTGACCCCAGCATTCTGGAGGACACTGGCCGCAGTGGCCTCCTTGTGGACCCTGAGGGTGCAGCACTGGGCCGTTTTGAGGGACAGTCTCGGGTATATCTGGAGAGCGTAGGTGGCCTCGTCCAGGTAGGCCAATTTTCTGCTTTCTGGGAAGCTCATTGTAACACTTGCAGGCACACAGCAGCTTCGCCTCCACACACGGCATCACAGATCACCTAGACAGAGGAGAGAGGGAGGGAGAGAGTGAAGGAGAAGGAAAAACTGCTGCATGTTCATGCTTGTCCGAACGGGAACGCTAGGAACTCCCAAGCTGCACCCACCAACTCCCCTGAGCACAGCATTCACAGCATTGAAGGGGAATTCTGCCAACTTCTCAAACTTTTTCTGCATAACTCAGTGTGTGAGAGTGTAAACAGAGTGACTCAGAGTGGTTTGGTGTGAAATGGTTCAGATGTCTTTACAGTGGTGGTGATAGGAACCAGGGGTCGCCATGACTACAACACAAATATAGACATTTTATTTACTATCCAGAACCACCAGTGAACCTACACGAGTCTTCTGAGTTTATATGGAATGTTGATGATGGAAAATAGTGGAAAATCTGAAATAATAAGTTTTCTTTGGGGACTATTTTGCCTCACAGCGCCCTGCATGTATCCCTCCACCATGAATGGAGTTTAAGATCTCTAAACTATCATAAAACAGTGTCTCAGTCATCAGGCAGTGAATTCATAACCATTTTATGTAGGAACTTTCTGTGAGGGAGCTTTTAGAGGTGGACGTCTGGTTCCTATCACCACCACTGTGAACAGTTCTGACTCCGTAAGTTTCTCTAGAACGGAGCGTTTCACACCAAACCACTCTGAATGACTCTGAACCACATCCACTTAATTATGCAGATATTTTAAAAAAACTCCAAACTTCCCCTTTACTGGCTAGACCAGGACTGTTTTCCTTGGAATACAACTGAATCAAATCAGCACAGCACAGCTTCCACTAGTAGAGAATAGAAAAGCCCACCTGTACTCAGGTGTACTTCCTGCACCTGTCCAACTGTCCACCCTGGGACTTTCCTTGGTGCTGCCAATCACAAGACTGACCCTTAAAACTTCACAAAAGAGTGAAAAACGAGCCAAGCCCCACCAGTAAGTGCTGTGTGAACAGGCTCACCTGTTTCAATCCGTTGTCATTCCATCACAGCTCGACACCCAATCCAACCAGGAAAGAGAAAACAACACCTTCTCAGCAGCCACGTCCAGCCTGCTCGACCAAAGTGCGTCAAAAAGCTCCTCCTGACCAGCAGAAGCCGCTCACCTGTGACCCAGATTAACCCAGCGCGCGCTGGCACTGATGTCCACTCCACAGGTGAGAGCTAAAAAACACACTAATGATGAGAAATCACGACCGTGTCCTGACGGCGCGTCTACAGCTCTGAGCTCTGCTCTCCAGCCGCGGAGTCACTTCCTCGCTCAGCGCGGCCTCCAGAACGCTGACGCCTGTCTCCACACCCCATTTCATTCCACACCCGTATTCAGACAGGCCCCGCCCTCCTGCGCTCGGATTGGCTACAAGTGTTCCAACTGATTGGCTCGTGTTTTAGAACGAAAGTTAATAATAATGATGAACTTAAAGGGCAACTCCACCAATTTTTAAAAATTTCTGCATAATTAACTGGTTAAGATGTAAACAGAGTGGTTTGGTGTGAAACGTTCTGTTCTAGAGAAACTTACAGAGTCAGAACTGTTCACAGTGGTGGTGATAGGAACCAGACGTCCACCTCTAAAAGCTCCCTCACAGAAAGTTCCTACATGAAATGGTTATGAATTTACTGCCTGATGACTGAGACACTGTTTTATGATAGTTTAGAGAACTTAAACTCCATTCATGGTGGAGGGATACATGCAGGGCGCTGTGAGGCAAAATAGTCCCCAAAGAAAACTTATTATTTCAGATTTTCCACTATTTTCCATCATCAACATTCCATATAAACTCAGAAGACTCGTGTAGGTTCACTGGTGGTTCTGGATAGTAAATAAAATGTCTATATCTGTGTTGTAGTCATGGCGACCCCTGGTTCCCATCACCACCACTGTAAAGACATCTGAACCATTTCACACCAAACCACTCTGAATCACTCTGATTACATCTCAACCACTGAATTATGGGAGTGAGGGGCACAACCTCACACGTTTTACAAACACTTGAACTTTGTTTCCGGCGCCTACCGTTCAGTACAATTCCACCCAAAATGAGGGAAGTGCAGTGTTCCAGTTTAGCCCATGGGTGGGTTCACTGTAACAGACAGAGGGTCAGTTTAACACCTGCTAGAAAAGTCTGATCAATCAGTGCAAACAGTTAATTCAATATGATTTTATGTTGTAAGAAATATATTTTCCAGCCATGCTGCATTATATATTATCATCAATAAGACAGACAGACAGATCAACTGACAGACACACAGACATCTGATTATATATGAACACTAAGTGAGACTGTGAGTCAAACAATGACAGATTTATTTTAGTCTAGTAAATAAAAAAATCAGTAAAATATGAACATTGTTTCTGAATAACTGCAGCTTTACCAGCTGATAATGTCAATTTCACTAATATACTTATTTAAAACTCTAATAAAGCAAAAGTCTCTGTTTCTCTTTTTCATCTTAAAATCTGTGTAAAGTGGAACTAAAAGACTGAATGTCCTTTATTCATCTTTGTGTACTGAAGGTGTCTGAGCTGTAACGCTGTGTAAGAACTAACCCTGCAGTGTGGAGGCCGGACTGAAGCCCAGCTGCACCAGTTGTGAGCTTGTCAGCTGCTTCTAAACGCTGCTGCACTGTAGAAACCAAGATGGAGATTAAAGTGATATAAGGTTGGGTTTTGTGATTCATACAAACAGCTCAGTAATCGAAAAACACTTGTGTTAAAAAAATGACTTACCTGCTCTGAAAACCCTCTTTGGCTCAGATCTCTTTAAATCGCTGACCAATCACTCTGGATTTTGGTGGGAGGCAGCGGCTTGGAGATGTGGTGATGTGGTCAGAGGCTCACGCTGCTTGACCCTTTATAACAATGTTAAACTGTGTCCTGTGTTAGGTTGTTACCTGTGCTCACCTGCAGCATCTTTAATATATTTAAAACTCAACGTGCTTTGAAATGAAGAAGGAGAAAGAAAATGGACAATTCTAAAAAGTAGCAACCAAAATAAATAATTCACATAAAATAATACTGATTATGAAATTACAAACCTGTATGTGTGTGTTTTGTACATACTTGTGTTCTAGAACTGCTAAGTGTTATAAACGCTGGTCATCATAGCTTTTCTGTGTGTCTCTGCGGCCATTTTGTGTGTTTCCCTCTGTTGTTGCATTATGTGCAGGTCTGTGATTGACCACACGGGGGCGCTGCTGTATGAGCAGTTACCAAGCTATTGTCAGAGAGAAGAGAATTACTGCTGTGTTTCCCAGATTTCTCAATAGGTTAATATGGTTCATTTGAGCAAAATCATAGTTTATAAATGCTTTAACATTTTTAATACAAAAGAGTTTTTAAACTCGAGTTATGACGTCAATGAGTGCGAACAGCCAATGAGCTGCTCTGCTCACCAACCAATCAGCACTCAGTAGCAGTAATGCTAACCAATCAGCACTCAGTAGCAGTATTTGTTAACCAATCAGCACTTAGTATCAGTAATGCCAACCAATCAGCACTAAGTATCAGTAATGCCAACCAATCAGCACTCAGTATCAGTAATGCCAACCAATCAGCGCCCAGAATCAGTAATGCCAACCAATCAGCGCTCAGTATCAGTAATGCCAACCAATCAGCACTCAATATCAGTAATGCCAACAAATCAGCACTCAGTATCAGTAATGCCAACCAATCAGCGCTCAGTATCAGTAATGCCAACCAATCAGCACCCAGTATCAGTAATGCCAACCAATCAGCACTCAGTATCAGTAATGTTAGCGTCCTGCTGTCCAAAACCCGTTTGCTGCAGAAAAAAGGAAACAGGCTGCTTTTCTACTGTCGAGCCAAATGGTTCTCAGGGCCGTACTGGGCCGTTCCGCACTGGTCCGGACTCGTGAGACCGGTTATGGTTTCTGTTTTCATCTGTTGTAAAACTACATAAACGAGTGGCTAACTGCTAACAGGCTAATAGCAACACACCCGCCACCCACCACAAACACATTTGATTCCGTCTGTCACTCCAGCTCCAGTCTCTCTCGGCTGCTCAGCTCTCTAAAATACCAAACTCATCACATTTTTAAATCCACTTAAACATGTTTATCTGCTTCTTTACTGTCTCAGCGCAGAGAAAACAGCAGCAGCAGCTCCACGTTTGTTTACTTGCGTCTCCTATTAACAGGAGAACGCGAGAGCTCAGTTCCGTTCGGTTCAACAGCAGCTTCAAGGTTGAGTAGTGTGGATCCTCAATATTTCAGTCGCCCAAAAAACATCTACAAACACCACTGTGAGACTTTAAATGTCATGTAGTGAACCCAAGACTCAGTTGCACAAATTTGGGTTCTAGAATAGATCAGTTGTTTGTGCTTGTGTTCTGACATGCCTAGATAGATAGACAGATAGGCAGATAGACAGATAAATCACTTTATTGATCCCAGAGGGAAATTCTTCTATTGCCGCAGTACAAAGTTTTGACTTACAGTATTTACAGATGAATAAATAGAAAGTAAAGATAAATAATAGAATAAAATAAAATAAAAAAATATACTAAAACAATAAAAATACTATGCAGTACAAAAATAAGAAGTATATTGCATAAATACTGTGCAGTGGACAATGCAGTGCTGCACGTCCCCTCCAGTGAATGAACTACTGACTACTGACTGTAAACGATAAACAATGTTAACAGTTGTGTAATATGACCTTTATAGATGCATAAACAAAGTGACAGTGCAATATGGAATATGAATAAATGTATAATCAGAGTGGCAGTGCATAGTAATATGAGTGGAGAGATGTAATGTAGTGTCCAGTTGGTGGTCAGTGAGTCTGTTCTGTCAGTGGCTCAGTATACAGTGATGTCCACAGTGAAGAGGTTCTGTACAGTGCGATCGCTGACCGTTCCTCACTACAGCAGAGCTGAATGAGTCTGTTGCTGAAGGGGCTCCACTGTCTGACCAGCAGGTCATGGAGGGGTTGTGATGTGTTGTCCAGGATAGCAGTGAGTTTATTGAGTGACCTCCTTTCAACCACCACCTCAAAACCATCCAGCGATCATCCCAAGACAGTTTGTTGAGCCTCTTTGCATCTCCCCCTCTGATGCTGTCCCCCCAGCAGACGCTGCACAGACCACAGCGCCCCCAACAGGCTGGTAGAAGATCTCCAACATCTTCACACATTAAAGGACCTGAGCCTCCTCAGAAAGTAGAGTCTGCTCACCCCCTTCCTGGATACAGCCTCTGTGTCGGCCCTCCAGTCCAGTGTGTTGTCAAGCAGGACACCCAGATATGTGTAGGTGTCTACCAGCCGGACGTTCTGACCCGTCATGGTAATGGGACTGATCGTGGTTCTCTTCCTCCTGAAGTCCTCATACATACATACAGTGATACATACTTGTGTTCTAGAACAGCTAAATTATACAAATTTGTGTCCGAGGATGTTTTTGTGCTTGTTTTATAGAAAGGCTAAGCAGTTTGTACTGGTTCTAGACTACATTGTACATACCTGTGTTCTAGAATCAGTAAGTTGTTTGTGCATGTGTTCTAGTTTATTTAAGACTCAGGTCAGAAAGGACGAAATGAACTGAGAAAAAAGTAAAACACACAGACTGAAGATCAGAAGATGCCCGTTTGATGGAGTTGGGAGGTGGTCAGTGTGGTCAGTGGTCGTCCTCCTGCCAGGGCTGGAGTCCTCACGCTCTTTGGTCAGCTTCTCGCTGCCAGAGGCTTCTGTCTCTGTAGGAAGCGTGATGGTTCTGGCCTGCAGGTCTCTGAGGTGGGACGGTCCAGGTGTCGGTTCATGCAGGTCAGGAGTGCCGGCTGGGTTCTTGCCTTTGTTCCAGCTCTGTTCTGTCCAGTCCAGCTTCTCCACAAGGCTTCTATATGGTTCCAGCAAACTGGCCCTGCCGTGAAGGTCGCTGTGGGTGGACGGTCCGGGAATTGGGGGCAGGTCAGCTGTGAAAGTCACTGCATTGTTCCTTTTTAACAGAGCTGATGGGCGCCCCCTTGTGGTCATTAGTGGACGGCTGGCTGCGTGGAGAGGAAGTGAGTTCAGTATCCTGAGTTTTCACACCTGTGTGGTCATTTCGTCCAGTAATGTCGTTTCCTTTCTCAGTCCACACCTGAGTTTTCACACCTGAGTGGTCATTTTGTCCAGTAGCGTCCTTTCCTTTCTCAGTTTTTTCCAGCTCCTGATTTGCCGAACAGTCCGAAGGCTCTCCTGAAGAATGATTTATTCGGTTCCTTTTTCTGTCTCAGCATTTGTGAAGTCCGGTTCCGGTTGTGCAGGGTTCTACTGTAGTCCTCCTCACGTTCCGAAGCACCACCTCTGTAGCAG